GGTCCCCCCCGCCCGCCATCTGAGATTAAGTGTTTGTGTACTTTTTTTTTTTTTTTAAGCCTTCTGGTAACCCTATCCCTTCCCGGTGCTCCAGGCAGGTTGGAGAGCACTTGGTGCACCACACCACCTCCTCCCCTCCCCAGGGGGCCAGAGCCTCAGCAGAGAGTGCGGGGCTGTAGGTGGGACTCAAGGTCTGCCTCCCCCAGCCCCAGCTGCACCAACCACCCGTGCCTATAAGCAGGCACCAGTTGTGACAGAGCTGAGGAAAGATTGATGGCAGGCGGGGACAGAAGTAGCAGGAACAGACGGAATGAGGAAGCAAGAATGTATGCAAATGTTAAATCATACGGTGACAAAACGAGAGGGAAGTAACAGTATGCAGCAGCGCTGCAGCTATGTCAGTCCCAGGATATCAGAGAGACAATGAAGAGGCGTCTTTTATGGGACCCACTCCTGACGGTGAGGGAAAGCTTTCAAGCTTACATAGAGCTTTTCTTCTGGGCTGTAACTGAACTGTTCAGTCTCCCTTGGAGCGACAGCAGTTTTGTATCCGATTGTTTGAGCTCAGACTTGTCAACAGAAGGATGCACCTTGCATTCATGGAAATTAACACGCTCTGCTGGGGGGAGTGGTTTTAGCATAGCCATTTGCCACACAGTTATCTTCCCATTCCATCTTCAATTATTTATAAATTGTCCATCCAGTCTACTATGTATTATTTCTTACCACTTTCCTAAAAAAGCCAAGCCGACCAAAAAAAGTAGAATGCACACAGACTCAAGTATCAAGAGAGGAAAGCCCCAGCTCGGGATTAAAAAATGCAAAATCCTGTAAAACAACCCCCGTAAAAGTGGACCTTCTTTATATCACCTGGGTCAGGCGGAAGGGAATTGAAGAAGGGTCACAACTCTCAATAAAAGCTGTGGAAATGGAGCTCTTAATTCTCAGGAATATGTTAAAAGAATCACTTGAACAACCCTTTACATAGCAGCCATATGCTGTATTTGAGGGGCAAATTCACTGGTGTGTAAATAGTGGTGTAAGCTTGTCAAAAGGCAGATGAAAGAGGCAGAAGGGCATTACGTGCACTGATTTGGCATTTGGCAGGTGTGTAAAACAAGTGCTAGGAGACAGAAATTTGGGCCTCTGGTTATCAGAGATAGTATAACACAGTGTGAAGCAGATGACTTTGATTTACAGTATAGGATGCTAGTATTTAGTTTCATTGGTACTACTATCCTAACTTTCACCCTTATCCCTCAACCTGTGTTGAACCTGTTTACATTCATTTTGCCTAACTAGGGCCAAATTTGCTTCTGGCATAACTCCATTTGAGAGTTATACCAGTGCAAATGTTGGCCCATTAAATGTGAGAAGGATACAAGTTACGCTACTTCGCTGCTTATACTCATTTTCTAACCAACTTACACCCAGCTTGCAACTTCATTGCTGAATGTGTCTCAGAGACTTCTATTGGGCTCCATTTGCTTCAAGCATGTATATTATTTGAGGCTATTTAACTAAAGCAAATTAAAAAGGATGAACCTGGAGACCAGCCCAGGACAAAAGAAGAAACAAAACATGTGCTTCCCAGAGAGGCAAAGTGATAAATAAGAAAAATGATTGGGCTTCTGGACACGTCATGAAAGGGTCTGAAAATACTCTATAGAAGTATGTTTTATATAGGTAGGAGGGACTAGGAAAATATGATTGTTACGTTAATGACTGAAGGATGATTTAGGAGTTGCCCATTTTTAAGGCACAGCCACGCACGCAGAACAATAAATAAAAAACAGATCAAGTTAAAAAAAAATAAGATCCCTTGATGAAACTGCCACAAAATAATGAAGTCCAATAATAACAAGGGGCAGTCAACAGGCAAAACACAGGCCAACCCGGATCACCAGAGATTTTTTAATAGACCCCAAAATGTTTGAATCATCATTAGCAGTGCATCTATACTACACTTCTCTTTCAAAAGAGGAATGCAAGTGAGGGAAATAAAAAATGCAAGTGAAGCGCTGATTTACAAATCTCATGCTTCGTTTGCATAATCTCATCTGATCGCTTTTTCGAAAGATTTTTGGGAAAAAAAGCAGTCTAGATGGGGTTCTTTAATAAAAAAACCAAAAAAACCCACCTTTTTCGAGAAAACCTTTATTCCTGAAAAAATTAGGTTTACAGCGTTCTTTCAAAAAGGGGGGAGGTTCCGAAAGAACCCCATCTAGACTGCTTTTTTTCCCAAAAATC